CCTCGTGTATTTCGGCTGCTTTGCCATTTAATTCCGAAATCATGCCTTTAATTTTTGCTAATTCGGATAAAATCGACGAATTTCCAGCATCAGATTTTGTTTCGGCAAATGTTTCAGTCAATTTCGATTGACGTACCTTGGGTGTAGTTACTTGTGTCAATTTTAACTTACCACCCGGTGTAACCGATGTTGACTTTTTTTCCGGACCACCCGGTACATTGAGTTTCGCGCTCAATTCATCCGTTGACAGCGGTTCACAACAAACAAACACAGTGCAAGGCAAAATCGCATACATAACCGCACTTTCACCCAATTTTATTTGCACCGTTTCGAATTTTCCATTTTCATTTTCGCATTTGTCAATGACAAAACAACGCAAAAAACACAAATTTCCACATTTGGCACATTTTTCTTTCGGTCCGGACACATTTTTCGGTTCACAAGTGTCTCTATCACATTTATGCACCATTGTGCAATGCAATGTATCTGCACACCCAATGTTGAATGTTTGTTTAAATGTTTTCACACAAAATATCAAATAACGTCAATGCACTCGATTGTTTTCTAATAAATAGTCACTAAAATAATTTTTTCGTTCAGTTTTTAATACATAAATCGCACAATAAATATTTTTAAAAACAAAAAAACGATAGACACATATAGAGTGTAAACAAACACATTTGACAGTTGACAGTTCGACTAGTATGTTGAAAAGTCGAACTCGCTATATATACATGCAATATACGAAATCCAGACCTAGAAGACCGTTGGCCCCGGTTGATGTATGGTTGGAAAAGCTTTGGGCCATAGATCAAGAAAAAATATAAAATTTTGAAAATCGGTCCACCTGTCTTCAAAATATGGTCCTTTCAAGAAAAGGGTCAAAATTCAGTTCTACGGCCATAGATGGCACTAAATGAGGTCGTTGACCCCTGAAACTTCGATATTCGGATTCTAGAGCTCGAAACCTTTCTAACGACCCCCTAACCGTCGAAATCGATCAATCCGTTCGGAAAATTTGTTATTTTAAAAATTTCATATGAATTCCTATGAAAAATCAAAATGTCTGTCTGTCTGTGGCCAATTTTGCGTAGTTGTTTCTGATCTTTTTCAAACTTTCTGGGATTAAAGTACATAAAAAACTAAGACTTTTTTGTTCTGGCACTTTTCGATATGGCCGCCATGTTGGCCATGGCCGGCCTCTAAAAGTCACTTTTTGACTTTTTTCCCTATGGTCACCGAAGCGCCATGACTTGACACCCCCCCGGACATATGCATATCATTGGAAAGGTCTTGAAGTGAGCTATCAAATGAAGCCATTTGCGGTCCAAAAATTTCAATTTGGAGTGGCCAAATTGGCCAAAAACCAAAAAGTTACCGTTCGGCCGGACACATAACGTCCATTACCTCGAAAACAAGCTCAAGGATTTTTTTGAAAATTTCACCGATTTTAGGCCCAAGTCTCCCGCATAGATCATATCCCAGAAAATTGTTGTTTTCAAGATATGGCCTTCGATAGTGCAAAAATGACCAAAAATGGCCAAAAATGACAAAAAATGTTACTTTTAAGATTTTAAGAATTTTATGAGCCAAAATGTGTTCCATTGTCTTTGTTAATATAACATATGTCCATAAAGTCTTGACAGTAAATTCAGATGTTCGCCATTTGAACAACAAACATACAATATTAAATTCTTTTTTATTGGTATAAACCTTCATTAATGGGCTACGAATAGCACATTCACCTTACACTGAACGGGCCATTGTCTTCGATGCGTCGAACCTTCAAAATCATGCTTTGGCGGACGGCTTTCAGATTTGAAATCAAATGATTTGTAAAATCAACAAATCATGGAAAAAATCATGATTTGAAATACACAATTCAAATCAAATAAATCAATTGATTTGATTTGGATGGTCGAGTTTATTTTAAATAAATCAAATGATTTAATTGATTTGAATAGTGTACATCAAATCAAATGATTTCCATTTTCATATTTATTTGAATAAACAAATCAAATCCAGAAGAAAACATTTTTTTTAAATTTGTTATGGATTAAGTAGTATTTTTTTAATTAGTCGCAAGAAGTCTTTCAACTGGGGCGGACGAAGAAAGTATGGAGTTGTATTTGATGAACAAAGGACGAATGTATGGATAATCGCTTAATTCATCAAATACAACTCCATACTTTCTTGAATATTGGCTCTAAAAAACCTTCCAAAGAAGATCCTACCATACAAACACGCCTTTATCAAAGTTCGGTTTGTCGACGTCTCTAGCCTTATATAGTAGTGCCCCAACATAATCAATGCAAAAGAAACCACTTGCACTTGATTCGTGGTTCGACATAGCGATGAATGTTTCACTGTCCAAAATGATGAATTTTTCAGTGCAAAATGCTATGAGGTGAAGTAAATACCCAATTTTTGACACCTTATTGAATTTTTTCATTACTTATTTTGCTGATTCCTAATGACCGGGTCTAAATCTATTGTTTTGGTTCAAATTTTGATGTGCTGTAACCATAAAAGTCACCAAAAACGAATTTTTGCTTGACCAACCCGGTTTTCGGTACTTGATGACAATTTTGGAGGGTTGGAGCATTTAAATAGGGAATACGACCGTACTTTTTGCTTTCTCTAGAATCTTTGTCTTCATACTAAGTCCATGAAACACAATATATGGTTCGTATACGAAGATGCCTATAGGCAGATGGGTTCATCTTTAGACACATGCGAAGTTTGTTTTGAACTTAGCCGTCACAACCATTTGAGACACTTTTTCGTAAATCCAATTTGTACGTCTCCGCGAATAGATGTATTTCATCGAATTGAGTTTGATAGTAGTCCCGAGGTACTGATAAACGTGCCGTGTGCATTGGTTGATATTTTTGATTTTGTTTATGTGGCGCAATAAACGCCTGAATTTACTGCCAAAACTTTATGGACATATGTTACTCTGTGACTAGCCAAACAAAAATGAACAAAATATCGACCGTTTTGGATGGCTATTCCACCAAAAATCGGCCAAATGTATCAAAATTCGAATTTTCACAAAAATGTCTAGATGTATGATATTTTAACAACAAATAACTACATGTTTGATAGTCTCCGCGAATGAGATCGATAAAATACCGAATCTTATGTCCCCTCCCACCAGGCCAGAAGATGGACTATCGTCGGGAGAGGTGCATGCGGTTAGTCACAAATGAAATTAAAAGAAATCTACAAAAATGTTAGTATAAATGGCAAAGTATGCAAAAAACGGTCATGCAGAAATAGCCATTATTTCATACGGTCGCTGTGGGACCTAGACTTGACATAACCAGGACATATGCATATTCGTTCGAAAGGTTTTAAGTAAGCTCTCGAGTGGTGCCAATTGCGACTTAAAAATTTCATACCACACACCACAGAAAAAACCACTTTTCCCCATTATGAACCACCACAATTTATATGATTTTGATCCAAAAATAACCTAAAAATCCATATTTTCATTGTATTTGAAAAAGATTCAAATTCATGTTTCTTGAATCTTTAACATTGAAAATAGCGCTTACAAAACTATTGATATCAAATAAAAAACCTCTATCGAGGTGAAGAACGAGTGACGAAACCAAAATTTGAACGTTGCTTCATTGCGTCAGTATGAACTCAAAGTAAAAAGGAGAGAATTTTTGCAACGTTTTAAATATACAAATGTATATTAAGTTTATATTCACAGTACACCAGACATTATAATGAGATATTTTCAGCCAGATATCGTCAGGAGCTGAAATTTAGTGAAAACAATAGAAGTGATTGTTATGGTTATAATTACACTTACATTGCTATAATCACTATAACAATCACTTTTATTGTTTTCACTAGATTTCAGCTCCTAACGATATCTGGCTGAGCTGATTCATCTGGCTGAAAATATCTTATTATAATGTCTGCAGTACACAGAAAAATCCACCAACTATTTTCGTCACAAAATTGATATCAGAAATTTTGTGTTTCAAATTTTGGTTTCGTCACTCGTTCTTCACCTCGATAGAGGTTTTTTATTTTATATGAAAAACACGGAAGACCGCTGGAATGGCAAATGCAAAATATGCACGGACGTATGACAGTGCCACTTCAGCGGTCTTCCGTGTTTTTCATACAAGCTTCTACGTAGATGGTGAACAATCGCGAAAAATGAAAAAAAAAATAATTTTTTTTTCTTCGATTTACAAATACTGCTCAATTTTCTGTGTCACCTGGTTAAATAAGAATGAAAAAATTCGCATTCCTTATCATCCAAATCACGATTGGCATTCGCATATTATTTAATGGGTGTTATTTGCCTGCTAAATGGCAACCTTATATGATTTTTTTTCTCAATTCTTATGTAGTTGTAATGTAATGGCCTATATCATCTGGTGCGACTGATTGTAAAAATTTCCTATTTCTCGCTCACCCTTACATGTAATTTCTCAATGCATTGACACACAACTACGCAATAAAAATCGCTGATACAAGCCATTTGATTGTATATGAAATTTGAGAATAAGAAGTTTTTTTCACTTTTTGTTTTGTTCTATACCGAGCCTCCGAAAGTGCGAAATATTTATACCGTTAAACTGCGTCGCATATCAAAGCGAAACAAAATTCTGTTACCGAAACATGGCAGAACAGTAGCTAGTTATCAGCACAAAACGAAACTTACATACTAGCTTACATATTTTGTATAATAAAAAGTCAATGTTCTTTATTCCTTTGTTTACAAAATATAGTAATGCGTTGATATGCAACCCTTTTGAGTCGCGTTTCGATATGCGACAATAAGTTTTTTTTATTCTGGAGCGTTCAAATAATAAATTTCCAATAATTAATTAGTTACTAAATAATAATGCTACTAACTGATAAATAATAAAATATTTTATTAAATCAAATTATTGGGGCAGTCTATGTGTATGTTGTCGTTGTGCTGAGAACGCACTCAATCAAGAAAATGGCGGCTGGATCACACTCACACTGACATCAACACAGTTGTATCAATATAAAAATCCATTTCTATCGCACAAAGCCGTGCAACACAAAACTATTAGCGCCAGATTCTGAATGACATCGATTGACATTTGTGCGCGTACAACAGAACGGAGAGCAATTCGTACTGCAATTAAGACTGAAATCAACCATTCTACCTAATTAAAACTGCGATTCAAACGAGATTCCACGTGGAAAATGTCGATTAGAGAAAAGAAAACGAAAAAAGTAAAGTGCTATGCAGACCTTGTTTCCAACGTGCCGGAACTAATCGTGAATTCAAAGAATGGTAATACGTATGAACGATTACATTTCATCGGTCAGGTATGTGTATTTCATATGATTTGTTTAAACAAAACCATGTCAATTAAATGCATTTAAAAAAAACTAGGGCTCTTATGGCAAATGCTATGAAGTGGTGAAAACTACAACAAAGGAACGGTTGGCGTGCAAAACTCTCAGTTTTAAAATGACAAAAGATTCGGAAATGCAGAAAATTATCCAAGCCGAGATCAGCATTCATCGAAAACTAATGAAACATCCGCACATTGTTCAGTACATTGAATCATTCGATGATGGTAGCCACGTGTACATGATACAGGAATTGTGTTCGAATCATTCGTTGCGTGATTTACAAAAGACGCGTGGCACTGTGTCAACTGATGAATGTCGCTATTTTGTCAGTCAAGTTTTGAAAGGAGCCCAATACATACACGAATGTAAAATTATACACCGTGATATTAAGCTGAGTAACGTTCTCATAGACAAAAATATGCAATTGAAAATTTGTGATTTTGGCTTGGCCATTAAGTTGGAAGACCCGCGAATGGCATCGCGATCACTTTGCGGTACAACCAATTATTTGGCGCCAGAAGTTATAATGCGGAAAGGATTTCAGACACGGTCAGACGTGTGGGCAATTGGTTTGTATTTCACTTCGTACATCACCAATTTCGTTCATTAATTCATTTGTTTATTTGATGTGATAGGTGTGATCTGTTTTGTGCTGTTATTTGGTTACAAGCCATTCGAAGAAGGAGATGCTTTTGCTACACACGAGCGTATATTGAGTGCCGATTATAAGTGAGTTTATATTTTTCATTTAAAATCGATTTGTTTGTGTGTAAAATTATTTATTTAGGATTACAGCCGATGTAGATTCTGAAGTGAAGGCATTCTTTCGAGCTGTATTCAATAAGGAGGTGACTTATCGATCAAGTGCTGAGCAATGCTTGCAATTGGCTTTTTTCAGTAAACACAACATACCAAAAGTATTGCCAACTCAAACGCTAACACAAATGTCGTTCAGCGAAGCAGCGAAACCGTCATCGTGCAACTATATTGATGGTATTTATTTTTCCATATTTATTGTGAATGTCGTCTGAATTCTAAAAAAAAACTTCTCATTCAATTATCAATACAGATTGTAATTTTTCGATTTGTTCAGTTAATGTCGAAACAAAAGATGTGACATATCAAGAGATTTGCGTTAAGATGGGTCCCATTTTACCAAAAACATTTAAAAACATTAATCAAGTTCGTGTCTTGGAAGATGTTTTTGATCGATTCAATGCAATGTGTCGATATTATGTAAGAATTGTGTGACACATTGATTTCGAAACAGAATTTTTAATGTATTTTTACAAATGTCAAATTAGATTCAAAGTGATCAGAATTTAAGCGATATCAGCGATGTGGATACATTCAATCCAGTCCATTGGGTGAACAGGTATGAACACTATGTTACAGCTTGTTCACAGAAAATTAATGCAAACAAATGAACATTTCAGATGGTCATTCGATCAAAATTCGGCAAGCGGATTTGCATATGAATTATCTGACGGTACTACCGGCATGATATTTCATGAAGGTCTTCGATTCATGCGAACACCAAAGAAACGGTGTGGAATTACATTTTTCAAATATTTCCATTCCATTTAATCGAATCGTTAAATGTTTTATTATTTCAGTTTATGGGCATGGCAGTCCAATGAAGAAAGTTTTCGGGAAGTTAAAGATGACTTCGATGCAGCAAGACTCGATCACAAAATCCAGAAATTTGATGAGTTGGAGACAACAATGTTGAAAAATGGATCAACCAAAATTGAAACAGCCTACAATTATCGTAAAAAAGTGTTTGTTTACACTTGGTTTCAAACTGACGAGGCAACGGTCATGCTTTTGAGCAATCATACTATCCAAGTTAGTATAAATTCAATTGTTGTTTTAAATATCGTGTGAATGTCAAATTGATGCATGAATTCATATAATTTAGATCAATTTCACACAAGGCCACAAGAAAATGTTGATTTCGCCGCTGGAAGGAAAAGTCACATTCATCACACATAAAATGGAATTGAAAAACTTTAAAACATTGGCATTTGAAGCGATTGGCAAATATGGATTCTCGTATCTCAGTTTTGTGATGTTTAAATACGTGACGGCGATTGTTCAACGCTTAGCATACATATTAAAATAAGCAAAGTTTTAGTTTTAAGATACATAGATAATAATCCTTTAACAAAAGCATTTACATTGCTCAAAATGACAAAATATCTTTTTAAATTAAGGTAGTTATACAGACTCTCAGCAAAACTGAGTTATCCCATTCATTTGATTCGGACAAAATTGAAGGAAAATAAACATCAACAAATTAGAAATGACTAATTGGTTAGAATAAGAATATAAACCAACAAATAATAGTAGTAATTTAAGAATTAATACGGAATTTGGTGAAAGTGAAAAATCCTTTATTGTTATTTAGTAGTAGATAACATCCACTCTTAGTATTATTAGAGAGAGGTTTCAAAAAAAATTAAATTTATATCAAAATGGATAAAAACAAAAATTAAAACATTGATAACCAACGGCGACTATTTGAAGGTCGACAACTATACACGCATCACTACTGCTGTTGAGTCGGTGGAGGTATGTGGGGCACGAGCGACGTCGTTAGTTGTGTATGTAGTAGTCACCTTCTATAGTTTATCGTCGCTGATCGAGTTGTTTATGTTTTTTCATCATTTTTCTAATATTTGCAGTAGATTTGCTTTGAATAATTCGATAGAAATAAAAAAAAACATACAAAGAAATATTTGTATATATAACAGTGTAGTAAATTAGTTTGAAAGAAGTTTATCAACATCATATTACTCTTCAATTCTAAATGTCAGCCAATTTTATACGAGTCATTTATCACAAAACAATTTGAGTAAATAAATTACATTTGAAAAAAGAATTTATTAAAAATGTTTGTACGTATTAATGAAAAATAAAAAAAAAGTTTTATGAGTTGACATTGTAAAAAGTCCATTACAAGTTCACCATTTTCACTAAAATATTGGCAACCAGTAATTGATATGGATAGTCAATTTCTAGAGAATGTTCACTATCGATTTCAACGAATTGACATCTGTAAAAGAAGAAGCAAATTTTTAAAAAAAACGAGTATTTCCGAGGGCATCAAATAAAATTACAAAATTCAAACCTATCATTCTGAAGAAGTCCTTCATTCTCAACTAAGTTGCGTCGCATGAAATAAAACATTCCCGTTTCTACTAATTCTCCACTCGAATCTTGCCGTCTTGGTCGGTTTTTTGGATCAAAATTAATTGCGGTCAATCGATTTGAATTTTCAATTTGTTTCCATCGTAATTTCCAGTTTCTATTCATGTTATACGAAAACAAAAATGTTATCTATTTATAAAAATTGTGAATTAAATGGAATTACCTTTGAACAGAAAAAACGCAATCGACATTTGGTTCATTGAATAATTTTACAGCCATTTCCAAATAATATTCATAGATAAAAACGGATGTGCATTGTATCAACGCAATGTTACGGATGTGCAAATGACCGTTTAAAAATTCCTGTATCGATTCAATTGAAGTGGCTTCGTCACGTGCCGAATATTCACTCCGATAATGTACGTTTGCATTATAACGACGTGCTTCCCGAGCAATCAATTCATTGTCAGTTGACACCCATACCTCTTGAAAGCAATTACGGCAATTGCCAATGATTCGTAATGCTCGACCCAACAATGAAACATCAACGATTTGCGCTATATTTTTATGCCGTATCCCTTTTGAACCGCCTCTTGCCAATATTAATGCAACAATTTGTTCATTATAATCGATCGATTTGTCAAACCGCCGGCACCTATCGAAATAATGAATTTATTCAATTTGAATATGTATAGAATGGTAATTAAATGACAACTTACTCAATTGCAAGCTCTTGCTTTGTTAAAAATGTCTCAACAGACACCAACGATAAAAATAAAACACAAAATAAAGCAAATTTGTTATTCATGACACAACACATGTTGCTATCTTGGTGTCGAAAACACACTGATATGTTTAATGGACGTAAATCTTTTTTTATAGAGCCAATAGAAGTAAGAATGTCTTATCAATGGTTTTTGTGAGAGATTTAATCGAATTAAATTTACTGTAATAGAATCAACATTCGTGTGTATTTATGAACGCATTATTAGGTGCCAACTCTAGTTTAAATACGAACAATTTTCTTATTCGCAACATCAATTTTGATAGATCAGATATGTGTTTATGATATAAAATGAGTATTAAAACGACCGTTTACTATTTTTCTACATATTTCTCAAGCTATTAAACTCTTTGGGATTTTTTTAAAATCTTAATCTTGCCAATTTTGACTTTTTAATTTCTACAATAATTCAATTAGAATTTAATTTTCGGAAACAAATTGTGGAATTCTCATCAAAAATGAGGTAAATCCGTAAGATATTCTTTTTGACTGATGATTTTGCCCAAAATATCTGACAGTTTATGGCATGCGCAATGATAGTAAAATACTCTTTGACAAAAACGCTATTAAAACTTATAAACAATGTAATACTAAAGATGGAAAATGCATTTTTTTATCTTAAAAAATATTCAATTATCAACTAAATGAAAAATCACTCAAAAATTAATTGTATAATAAAGCGATTTCTCCGATTTTTTCTTCAATTCATTTTAAATTTTCTTGACAATTTTTTATTTTCTATTTTCAATTTTTTGAAAATTCAAATAGAAAATCAAATAAAATTTTATAATATTTATTAAATTCGATTAAATTAAATTAGGTAAAAGTTTTAAATAGTGTTCACATTGGTTCAGTTTCAAAGGCTTCGACAAAAAGTCTGTTTTCAATTTACGACAGATATTTGAATGAATAAGGTGAAATGAATTACAACATTATATCGTCACTTTGAACAGAATCTTGGTGAAAGTTTCATTTCCTTGATTTGAATGGAATTCATTGAATAGAGACTGATGTTGGTATGTCAACTTCAATTACACCAAATCCTTTTCAAAGAATTAGTTGCATGAAAGTACCTAATTAAATGGAATAAATTCATTGCAGTTGCTTTTATGTAGTGAATGTGTTTCTACGAACGATAGTGGGTGATGTTGCAGTTTTCAGCTCTTTTAAATTGTATTAATTAAAATATGTAGTTTGGTTAGCAGCAAAAACCGCATGACCCTCGGAGCCTGTAAATGAAGCGAAGAAAACAAATAAAAAACATTTGTGAATGGCGGAGCGTTAAATGTGAGAGAAAGTGACTGTGAAAAGGTGCAATGTTCTATTAGGAGTAAAATTGAACGGTTTATTGATGTTTTATGTACATGTACATTGCAAATGCCGATATATCGGTGGTACATTTAATACGTTCTCATTAATCCAGTCAGCAAGTGAACACGGAAACTCGAAGCAGACGCAATAATAAGAGAAAATAGCGTTTTCTTTGGAAAAATAAAAAGCAACGAAGAGACACCAAGAGTGTGTATAAGATTGAAGTGATTTCATGAAAATGTATTGCTCCAAAGGAGCCAGTTTATTTTCATTGTAATTTATATATGATGCTCGCGGCCAGATATGGTTGCTTCACAAGGCTTGCTCGTATTTACTGCACCAATTTTCGATTAAAAGCTGAGTTATATGCGCTGCAACAAACCACGGAATATATACATAGATATTGGGGTTTGTTTAATTTTTATTTGTGCATTCTGTTCCACGTTTATTCCACTATTGCTGCCATGAATGCGGTGCAATGCAATTTTTCCGCATTGTATTTTTTCTTACATCACCCGATAAATCTTATTTAGTCTTTATTTTTGCTGCACATTCTGCCATGTGTAAGAAGATGTAGCATCCGGAACAAACACGGTTCCGTACAAGAGCTGCAATATTTCAAATGCTGGAAGCAAAACCGCAATTTTATTCGATAAACAAAACCGGAAAATTATCTCAATACATTACAGACATTTGAACGGTCGTTTTATTCTACAAATTTTTTCCATTATTGACGATGATTATGTGTCTGATCTTTATTTACATTTATATTAAGATGGAGGAAATGATACATATAAGAAAGAAAAACGTCGCCAGCAAAAAATTCCATTTGACTTTTCAATTTAAAACTCTTCACCTCCGATCGAAAAGCGACTTTGACAAAAAGAAAATCGAAATCAAAAATACTGATGGTGAGAATTAGTTCGATCATAATGAAAAGTGCATAGACCTAAATAAATGAATGTAAAAACCAACTGAATGAGAAAACAAATTCGAACTATAAATTAAATTGAAATTGTTTTCTACTGGACCTTTCAGTCTAAATAAATACGCAAAACTATTTAGTGCTTCATGTATAACGCCAACGTTTCGATTTATTCTTCAAATCTTCATCAGGGCTAAAATAAACAATTTAATTTTCTAATATAAGTTACAAACAATTGGTTTAATGGCATATTTTCATTTCTATTTATACTGATTAAATTACCAAAACAAATGCAGATAGTTTTTGTGTCAATATATTTTAGAACAAAGATGTTCATATCCAGAATGCGTGTCAAACATTTAATTATTTAAATTCCACAATTCACAAAAACGATTGTATCCGAATGTGTTATATCAAACATGTAAACAATGCCAATCTGAAAACTCATTGAATGGTAAATGTCAAAGTGTCATTTTAAACATAGTCCACAGTGCAAAACATAAGAAAATATTATGAATATGGACCACGCTTTAGATTCTATTTTTGAATTTATAGAAAAAATTATTATAGATGTTACTAATATTTCTTGATTCAATGCTTCTCAGATTTACACAGTTTTCAGTTGTTTTTATGTACATTTCTTCAATTAAATATCTTTTAAAGTTTTACTGAAATATAAAATGGAATTTGGAATTGAATAATTTTGCAAAGTAACTTTTTCTCATTGCCATTTTCAACGAGTTGATTTAATTTGCGTAGCTTATGTTGAAACATTTTAGAAAATGCTTCATGATGAAAACACATCGAAATGAATATCAAGAAAAGAACACCGTGTATGATGAAATGAGAAACAACAAAAAGTAAGTACACAAAGATTTCACCACAATATCCGAGTAGTGTTGTTTGATTCCAGGGTAGACTGACGATGATATGAATAGATAAGTCATTCGTGAGTTGAAAAATATTGAAAATGCACAATTGGACAAAAGTTACTCACTCAAAATGAAATGGCACTTATAAATGATCTCTCTTTAGCTTTTTTTAGAATAAGTGTTGCCACCCATTTGAAATAAAATTTCTAATAACCATTCACATTTATCATTTGCTCGTTCCAAAAATTGAAATGAATCTTCATCTTTGTCTAAATTTGGAATAAATATAAGGTAGATTTTTGTAAGTAATGTAATGCAATATAGATGAATTTACGCATTAGAATTAAGATGTACGCTACGATAGCGCATCAATTAGCGTACGCATTACGCATATTAATAGTCGCATTGACTAATTATATATAATCAATAAATCAATCTCATTTGGACCAGCACTCAAACTAGTTGTTTTTTATTTCATCTCTGATTCCCTAAATCTTATATTATAGTAATCTTTTTTGTTACATTTTGAAAAGTACTTATTTTTCATGTAGACTTGCCTGCATCATAGATTGTTGTTAAATTTCTTATAATAATAGAGAATTCACGTCGCACATAAAATGCAACCAACGCTGTGTATATTTCAGCCAAAGAAACGAAAAGTACACAACATGCAAATAAGGTTTTTTCGAAATTATTTGTTCCATTCTTTAAAATGAATGCAACCGATGCAATCGACGAAATAATCTGTGACAAAATCACAGCTGCAGAAAAGCCAATGTATGTCCATTTCTTCCAAACACTTGTATAATTATCCGGAGGCAAGAGACAAAGCCATGTCATCATTTGCTGCGCACTTGGTATTGCTTCCATTATAAACTCAACTCTTTAAATTGAAAAATGAAAAGGGCGAGTATTGAAAATCAGAAATAATGACAAATTGATTTTTGACTGAACTCTAACTGTTAATAAATATGACTGATTGAATGCATTGCTAAAGGTCTCCCTTTTATACCAGTTTTCCATTGTAAGAACTGAGTCAGTTTTCTACACATGCTTCGATTCTCAATATGCATTTGATCCACGTATTTTTAACAATCAAAATAGATTTATTTGTCATAATAAATCAAAAGAATAAATAATTAGATGACACCTTTGAGTGAACGAAATGTAAAAAATGGTGTACTGCACACTAAAAGCGTTTTTATCATTTTGCTAGCATAGAACGGCACAGAAAAAGGATAAAATCAATGATAGTGAAAACAATAGAAGTGATTGTGGCAATGTAAGTCTAATTATAACCATAACAATCATTTCTATTGTTTTCACTCCATTTCAGCGCCTGACGATGTCTAGCTGAGCTGATCCATATGGCTGAAAATATCTCAATATAATGTCTGATTGAAATTCTAAAAAACACACTGATATCGATTAATATTTTTGTCCAGTATTCGGCTTGATCATCACTGCCAATAGTGTTATCAAAGGTTCAGTTGATCTGAAAATAGGCATATGTTGTTATTCGATATCCATTCCAACAATCCGCAAGTGGAGGCAAGAGGATCGATTTTTTTCTTTTTTTAACACAAAATAAAATATTCCGGCGTGGCAAATATCAAGCGAAGAAATGAAACGACAATGAGTGTCATTCATTTCATCCTTTTTCTGTGCTAGCAAAATGATAAAAATGCTTTAAATGTGCAGTACACCATTTTTTCCATTTCGTTTACTCAATGGTGTCATCTAATTATTTATTCTTTCCCTTTACGATTTTTTTTAAAATCCAAAGCATGATAACCTGCCATTAGCACTCCCAATTTTCTCTTTCGGTTAATAGAACTTCGGTTAAAATTGTACAAGTAGTGAAAATTGCAATAAGGAACAATTCAAACATTTAATTTTCTACGAATGAACGAACAATAACACCAGAAAATATGTTTCGAACGAACGAACGAAC